GGGATCCCCGCGTGACAACCGTGGTTTTGACATACGCTTTGTTCATCAATGTCATCAGCATTTTCATTTATTGTTTTGGTTTGCTTGTTCATCGATGCCATTGATTCACACCAGTTTTGTCAAGAATTTGTCGATGGAAAAAAAAAAAGAATTTGTCGATGGCATCGATGGTTACGTTAGCAGTGCCACAGCCATGGAAACGCCATACCCAGTACAAAAAAGAGGAGGAGGAAGAAGAAGAAGAAGAAGAAGAAGCAGCCAAACTCCCCCCTGTGATGCGCTTCTGGTTCACCACCGGAGATATTTGGCTTGGGCCTCCTTTGCTGGTTGTGGAAGTTGGTTAGGCTTTTGTTTGGAGCCGGGGTACGGCTCCCCACATAGAGCAGAGTAGGCTGGGAAGGCTGGAAACTCGACCCATAACCTTGAGCGTTCTCTGGAGAAAACTGCAGATATATGTAGGTAGGTAGGTAGAGTGAGGTGTATGAGTGAAGAACATATATGTAGGTAGGTAGGTAGAGTGAGGTGTATGAGTGAAGAACATAGATTAGTTAAAAAAAAAAAAAAGAAGCCATACTCGGTCTCTCTGCCAAATGCATGACACCGTCAGAGAGTAGCAGACATGGCCCAGGCAAAGCATTTTAGTGTCAAGGCTCGTTAGACACTCCTCGGGCGTGTAAAATCCCCGAGGAAATCTTCGTTTCACCTATCCTTGGGGTAAGAAAACGAAAAAAAAAGTGAAAACATTTCCTCGGGCCGTCCTCGGGGAATCCTCGGGCCACAACCATTTTGCGATTTCCCCCAAGGTACCTCCCGAGGTCCCTTGAAGGCGAAGGATCCGCGATAAACAGAGCAGCGAGGGCACCCGTCATCGACAAGAAATTTTGGTCGGCTGGTCCATTGGAGTTCCTTCCGGGGGGCGCACGGACATCATCGGTCTTCAACGTTCGGCCTCTAGGAACCGTACCCCAATGGCAACCGTTGGTGGCCTGCCGACTCCCGCGCACGTCGTCCACAACCGTTCTCCCTCGCACGCAGTACTCGCCAAACGGAAAGCGGCCCAACGGACGGAAAATTCGCAGATTTGACGCCGGCGAACTTTCTATTCCCAGCTACTCGACGCCAGTTGAACTGTATCGTCTGCCGTTTGCTGCCCTCTTCTCGTCGCCGTTTCCTACCGCCATGTCGTCGTCGTTTGCTGCAGCCGTACCGGCGTCCTGTGTTACCGCCCTTCCCCACGTGTCGTTCATGGTCGACGTCTTTCGGAGACTACCGCTGCGGTTCCTGGTGTTGGTCGTTGCTGTTCCTGGTGTTGGTCACACTTGTCCTTGTCGTCATCTTCCACGTGTGCATCTTCGGTAGGCTGCCTGGACGCGCGCGCAAGAGGCGTTCCTCGACGAAGGGCGTCATCATGGAAGGGCGTCATCATGGAAGGGCGGCAGGCGGAGAACATGACTCTAGTGGACCGAGTCGCAAGCCACAGGGCGCGTAGCGTCCCGACATGCTCTGCAGTGCCACAGTACGATCCGTCTGCATACGCGCACTTGCCACCACACGAACAACCCGTGCCAGACACGTCAGATGAGGATGAGGAGGAAGCACGGTCATGTACTGTGGCACTGGGAAGCGGCTCCACCCAAGAGTGGGCGGGAAGCCAGTTGTATGGGAATCGTGAGACGACGTGTTGGCAGTCTTTCATCGAACTACAGGAAGATGGCATTCGCGAAAATGACGACGCAGCCGGCGTGAATCTTTCATTCGGTCTGTGTAGCGGGAGCTCATCAGCCACGACCCGCACTCTCCTCGTCAACCCCCACCCCGATGACGACGCGGGGCAAGTGACAGCAATCGGCCCATCAGCAAAGGCTCTGAGCGGGGAGTGGGTGGCATCACAGAAGACAAGGGAGCATTCGATAGTCCGGTCACAGTCGTCCGAAGTGGATGCGGCCACCATCGCTGTTGTCGGGGGGTGGAAGCAAGGGTGGCCGCACGGCTGGCCACGTGTCCACGAACGAAGATTTCGCGAGCGCTCCCGGTGAACGGGTCGGGAGGCAGGTGTGGGTGGAACATCGGCAGCAGGTGCACAGGGAACGCAAGTAGTGCATAACGCGGGGGGTCCAGCGGCTGCACGTTCGGGAAGGGATGGCAGATAAGGAGCCGGCGGTAGTGGATTGCGACGATTACGACGACGTTGCCTCGGATGACGAACGGTGGGACGACGAGACGACCGACGTTCAGCAGATCTGGCAGAAAACCATGGGTGGTCGGAGTAGGATGACGAAGGGTTCTTCGTCGACGGTGCGAAGGGGAAAAAAAGGGACGGCTGCGGGGAGCGAGGGGGAAGGTGACGTAGAGGGAGAGGCCATGCGAAACTTCTGGTCAGTCGACCACATGGTCGCCCTCATAAGGGCGAAGCGGGACCAAGACGCGCATCTGCAGGGGATGGGCCACACATGCGCTCGCATGAAGCCGAGGGAATGGAAGTGGGCAGATGTTGAAGAGAGGCTGAAGAAGGTTGGCGTGGAGAGGACAGCCGACAAGGGTGGGAAGAAATGGGACAACGTGATGCAACAGTTCAAGAAGGTGCACCTGTTCCAGGGGAGTCCGGGAAGTAGGACTTCTTTCAATTGACGACGACGGAGATGTCTGCTCGTGGCTTCAATTTCACCATGGATCCGACCGTGTATGAGGAGATTAAATGTTCCAGTGCGAAGAGTCACACCATAAACCCGAAGAATGTAGCCGACACAGGCGGTTCCGGTGGTGTGCAGCTGCCGCCCGGGTTTGCAGGCAGCCCTGAATCTGTCGGCGATGGGGACGCGGGTGGCGACGACAATGACGAAGAGGACAGCTCCACGAAAGGGTTTTCACCAGCGACGGGCAGCAGTGGCGGTTTCGGGAAGAGGAAAAGCGTTAGACAACAAACTTTTGAAGCTCTCACGAAATGAATGGAGAAGCACGGGACGCTAATGACGACGACGATGGAAAGCGCTAGCAAGAGTTAGTGTTCCATTCAAATTCGACAATGCAAAGCCATGGAAGCGGAGGTGGAAGTGCAGAGAAAGCATTACGCGGCTTCAGACGACGTGAGCAAGCTCATGTGCCAAGCATTGCTGGAGATAGTGAAGGCTATACGGGAGAGGTAGAATAGGGAACCTTGCCGTTCACGACATTGCCCGGGGAACTTACTGACTGCCCTTCGCCGCTTGCAGTGTCTTCTCCCCCGGTTGACGCCCCATGCACTGCAATCCTCCCGTTGTCCTCCTCCGTCTTTGTTGATCAGCATGCCTCATGGTCCTTCAAAGGCATGTCTAAAGGGGGGGGGGGGTGTTTAATTTTTTCGTCTGCGTAATGTTTTATTTTTTTTCGGAGTGGCTTGACCGTTGCTGTGCGGCTGGTGCGGGCAATGGTAGTTAATAGTCCTGTAGTCTTAGGATTTTTTGTGTTTTGAAATTATCGTTGAGCACCGACACTCATCCCCTGCTGAGCACTTTGCGACATTTTTAGGCTTGAGACGGCCAAGTCCAAGCCGTGTCGTTCATCTACTGTCATTGTTTGGTAACTATACGCAGCCACATTTCGC